CACTTGAAATGAAATATTGCATCTTCAACCATTATGGCAACTAGTGATAACAACTTGAAGAGAAAACATATATTTACATTTAAAATTGTTGTCTTTGTTTTAAAAATATTTTTCAATTAAATTACAATCTAATAATGACCCATCAATTGAACCATGACCCGATGACCCAATAATTTTTCAAAATTGATGATTGGATCGGATCTGATAACTATAATTATAAGTATTCTAGGGTTTAGAAATCCATAGTGTATTGTGTTTGATCTCACGCCAGCTTTTAAAATCCTAATGTAATGCATACAATATCGGGGAAGAAAACGAAAATCCAACGCCTCATGCAAATAAGTGGGCCTATTGATTTGTAATCTAATTATAATTCACATTATGAATTTTATAGCCTAATTTAAAGTCTTGACTTGCCAAAAAAATCTAATCGCGTCAAAGTAGACTGATTCGAACCATTCAGATTTTGTCCACTAAAGAGAAAATTCTTTATTCTAACTAAAAAAAAAAAAAAAATTATAATGAGGTTCATCTAATTATTTTAAATGACAAATTGAGTCGGATCGTGTCGATACTTACACCACAACTTTTATGCACAGTACATGTGTCATGTTTTGAAAACATATTGTGGATAACACCATTTTTTTTTTTTTTTAAACTACTATATGAAGAACAAAAAAATCTCTTTATGGAATATAACAGCCAAACAAGTCTTGGCCCCACTCAATTGGATAAGTACAACGGCTAGCACACAAAATGTACACTGTAGCACATCTATTGATGGTCTAATGGCTTCTTTTGTAGGCAATTGACCTACCACTTTCATTGATGATATATCAGGTTAGTTTCGATTCTAACTCGAAATCAAAACCAATTTAATTGATTTGGATTAATTTCAACCAAATCAACTTATTATAACTCTTAAACCGAACCAAATCAAATCGTTTCAATTGTTGGTTTGGTTCAGTTAATCGGTTTGGACTTTTTAAAAAAAAATTGTCCAAGTTTTGGGCTCAATTAAATTATAAGAACTAAAATTATTAAATAACTTTATATTACAAAAGTTATTGACTAACAAATAAAATCAGATTAATAGAGACAGGTCAATAGAAAATTTAAAAGTTTTGTTGCCTTTCTATGCATTATGTAGTCTGACTGTCTAGGTAGGAAAAAAATGCTAATTACAATATAATAAACTTGTGAAAGGAAATTTTCAGTACTATTACTCAACGTCAATATCATAGATTGGAGATAATCGTAATAAAGTTATGAGATTATGGCTTATCTTTTGATTTTTATTTTTCTTTAAAAAAAAAAAGATAAACATATAAGTGGATTGGGTTGGTTCGGTTAACCAATAGTTTGAGGCTTCAAATCATGACCGAACCAACCCATCATGGTTTTATTTAAAAGAAAATCAAATCAAACCAATTACCCATGTCAAACCGACCTGAGTCGGTTTGATTTAATTGGTTTAATCAATTTTTCGATTATTTTGTCCAGGCCTAGATGATATGGTGAAATGTTCTTTCATTTCTCTCCTAAAGTACAATGCTCTCAAATCTGTCAATCTGAGGCCGCAACTAAGTTTAAATTGATACTAAGGTCATGTTTGGGAGGGATTTTGTAAATTGATTTTTTAACCGTTAAAAGAAACGTGAGGTCCACATGTGAAAAAAGAAGTCAAAAATTACGGCTGAAATAGTGAAATAACGGTTAAAAAATCAAATTTTTGGAGTAAAAAATTCCTACCAAACATGCTGTAAATAGACCTCATGTAACAGTTCACGAAGAAAGAAGCCCACATTTATTTCTCAAAATTTAGTGTTCAAACACATTTTCTTGAAGCAGATAGCATAATTTTTTTTTTTTTAATAAATGTGTGGTGACGAAAAATAACCTAAGGACATCTGTCTACTCTAATACAATATTAGATCACTTTATTTAAAAATTGGGCTATTAAAAAAGACAAGTTTATTCAAGTTTTATCTTCAACGCACTACCTCACTACATTTCGTATCGATCTCTGTCCAAAGTATTGAGAATTAGAAACCTTAATTCTACCACCAAAAGCAATAAAATCACTGAAGGAAAAAATACACAAGAACATGCAAAACAAAATCGTACACCTTATCTTCTCTAAATTCTTTCTCCTCTTTTTTTTTGGTAATCCAAATCCTAATTATAGCTCTTTATTTATAAGATAAATTAAGGTAAAATCGAAATTACCGGCGTGAAATTCATAAACCGTCCTTAATGAAATTTTGATACACATACTGGTCCTGTATAGTAAAAATAATTAGGCTGCACAACTTCATACGAGGATGACAAGACTTGACCCCAGCTCTTATATAGGCGCCGTGAGATGATAACGCCGCGTAAATGTGTAGTTAATCCAAAAAGTAGGAGACAGTACAGTTCAATGTACAAAGGCAACAACGTATGAAGCAGGTTACTCTGAATGTGACTTCTCCTCCTCCTCCCTATAAATTTAGCAGACTTTCACTCTTTCTTTGCAACAAAATTTCTTCTTTTTCACATTCCAATCTTCAATTCTGTAATTGTCTGAAATTTTTCTAAAATACAATGGCGAAAATTGAGAAACTGAGATTCATAACAGAAGTTGCCCCCCCGAAGTTCATCTCAATAACACGGCGTCCTGTCATCAAAATGTTGGATACAATCGATGAGGAAAAGGCTTATGCATCAACCCTTTCGTCATCTTTCGGCAAAGCTCTCGACCGGGATAGATACCCGCCAAGTCTCTCCTTTCGAGTGAGAAATTTTTGAAAAAGATTATGAATAAAGCACAGATCAAATTCTCTTTGAGATGTGCTACTTAGCATAACCATATAGGATAAATAAATAAAGAGCACGATAAATAAATAAAGAGCACGAGGATTAGCATGATCTCTTTTCTATTTCTTTGCAATTTTGTATAATTTTCTGGAGAAAAATTGTCACACATTCTCTTCACCACCATCTTTTATAAGGGGTGAATGAGCATTTCTGTTGATTATTCTTACTAGTTTTGTTGCAATTATGCAAGCAGTGAAATTTCCAGTAATTTCCACTAAGTACCCGTGGCAATTGCCGAAGGAGTCAGCAAGTGAACCAACAACATGATAAATCTGGAAAGAAGGGTGACATTGGACTAATTTCTTGAGCAACTCAATATATAAATATCTATGTTTTGTTTCTTGTTTCATTTAGATAAAAAATCAGATTTTTAGTATATTTTAATAAAAGTTAATAAAATAAATGATTGAAAAATTGTATTTCGTGTTCAAACTTAATTTTTGATGACTTAGATTTTAATTAGCTTGAGCTAAATCGAAAGGGCTAAAAGGTCGAGCATGGCTTTTGATAAGTGAAAAAAAAAAGTTTTGAGACCCAAAAACTACTTTTGATCCATTTGAATTTGAATAATTTTAAGAAAATGTTTCTTATAGTTAAATGAGCTTTTAGAGGAAGATAATTTAATGTGGTTTCCTCTAAAATCACTCTCAAAATATGAAATTCTTTTTAAAAATTAATTTTCCAACAAAATTTAGAGTAACTTACTCCAAAAACTCTTTTATGGAAAGCAAATGTAAAAGTAAAAATCATATCAAACTAGCCCCCAGGGCACATCTCCAAGTGGTAAAACGGGAGGGTGGAGAAATCCAGCTTTACTTGAGGCTGCTGCGTCAAGGGTTCGAATCCTGAAATATGGATTTGGCTCTTGGATAAGTGCAAGTGTACAAGCAGCCTTTCACCCTATACCCTTGGAAGCATAACCTGGGATTTACTTCCTTCGCGATACTTCAGGGCAGGGGTGGTGGGAGACCCTTAAGGTTAGGGTTTAACCTTTTTAAAAATCATGTCAAACTACCCTAAGTTGAAAATAATTAGAGCATTGATAAAAGTATATATATATATATATATCTTATAAGGTGGAGACCCACAAATTATGTAAATCAAATTTATAAATTAGCCTAGAAATTGTCAACTTAGTCTCCATCTGGAAAAAATTATAAATCATATATAAATGATCGAACTTCATTTCAACAACAAATTTTAATACCCACAAATACTATCTATTTATACATCGCTAATTTATATCTATTTATAAATTCTTTCCAAACAGATTCTTAATAGGCTTATAAACAGCGAGACCAACTGTTTTTTGAATAGACAAAGGTTCAGTATCATCGTTATTTTTGCAAAATTGGACAGTTGAATTTCTATTTTCTTTCAATTACGTCCCTTCATCCACAAGTACGATAACCACGAAAAAATAATGCATCGAACATAGATAGGAAAAAAGGTCAATGATATGTTTTAACTGTCTAGTTAGATTAAAATGTATGTATTGTTGGAAAAAAAAGGCTTTCGGAATGTGCTTTAGAGATCTATCTAAAGAACAATAATTTCTACAAAAAAAAAATAATTTAATTTATAAAAAAATAACAAAATTGGGAAAGCGCACATGGCTTAACCCTAGAACTGGTTGAGATGGAACGCAGAAGAAGAAGAAGAAGAAGAAGAAGAAGAAGAAGAAGAAGGAAAAGATTTCTTTTTTCTTTTTTTATTTAGCCTCCGTTTGTTTCTCCTTTTTTCTTCATTAAAATGAAAAATATGACCGTTATCAATCACATTAAGCCACCAAATTTGAATTTTTATGTCTTGTGTGAGGGCCATAACTTCTATATCTTTTATTCTCATTTTTACATTAATATGTACCAAACGGGCTCTAATTTTTTGCTTATTTGGAAGAACGATAATACCACCTTGTCAATAAAATTTTGAGTTGTACTACATAGACAAGGCCATAGAGGCCCCGTCCGTTTAGAGGCTCAAGTGGTGCTTTCTATTAGTTGGGTGTCCGTGGTCAATAAGGGGTGCACGACGGACAGGGCCTACGATTGGTCGTTATGCCTTGTCCATTTAGAAAAATCCTAAAATTTTAGCTTGCTAATTCAAGACAAGGGTAAAATTGTTCAAGAAGGATCTAAACGCTAAATTGAAAGATTGAAGGCGTAAATGCTACAATTAGGAGATTGTGGCCCAAGTTAGAGATCTCTGCTACCATTTCCCTGAAAAGATTTTTATAAGCTACTTATAAGCATAGCCAAACACGTTCTTTGGCCTTTGCACCCCACTTACGAACAGACGACAACCTTAAACATAGAATTTACTCTGGTCTTCGGTAGTCCCTGCCCTTTAACAATGGATCCTCAACCTGAACCAGTAAGCTACATCTGTGGAGGTACATCTTAACATACATGGATGGATATTGAATGTGTAATTTTTCTGTCTGTTTTTAGATGATTTAATAATGTTAAAATGATTTCACAGATTGCAGCCAAGAGAACACGCTGAAGCCAGGCGACGTTATTCAATGCCGCGAGTGCGGTTATCGTATCCTCTACAAGAAACGTACCCGAAGAAGTAAATTTTCAATACCCATTTATTTGGCCTCTTTGAATATATACAGTAGTTTTATGATTTATTAATGCTGAATTAGCTGGGTACTTATTTTAATATCTTGTTTCTTCTCGTTTTAGTGATGGGTTGAATCTGAAAGATTCTTGGGCCATTATGAAAATGTTTTGGAATCGAATAATTTGTTCAATTTGTTTATTTTTGCAAACTTATACTCAATTTGACGTATTTTAATGATTTTCTTTTAGCAGTGATCGAGTGAAAGCTTCTAATTAATTTTTTGTGGTGTCCAATAGTAGCTTGTTTGATCAAAAGTGACTGAAACTTTGGTTTCGTTGGGTTCTTTATGGAAGATTAGTAAATTCCTGATAAATACGAATAAATGGATTACATTTTTGGCATGTGTATTCGAGATTAGAAGTATATTGATATTTTCTTCTTCTAGTTCATGGTTCGAATCCAGTGAACGCACTGATTAGCCTCTTCATTTGTACGGATTCAAACTTCCGCTTCATATGGGGCGATTACCTGTTATAAAAAATCTTATGGATGCAAAAAGAAGGAAAGAAAAGGAAAATGATTCAATTTTTTAAGTTGAAGGAGGATAATGCAGGCGAATTCCACTAACGTTCAGTTTGAAGTTTGTCATATTTTTAATTTCATCTCA